AGAAGCCTAGTTGAGCTTGCCATCATAAGACGTTACAGACAGCTCGAGGACGAACCTTTTGCTTGGCCGAGCGATGTCAAACATAAGCTCGAATGCTGGATGGTTCCCACTTAGCACCTCTTATCAAGCATACGCCCTCGCAAGGAACAGCTGCATAAAAGGACGTCTCGTCAGACAGCAGAGGCAGACAAAAGATGCAGCACAGCAAACAGGAGACAGACGACGATCTCGCTCGTCACCGCTCCGCCCTCGGTACCCGGGTCACGGATCTCTCGTGGGATTTCACATCACCTTCCCCAATAAACCCTCCAGTAAAGACCCCTTTCGTTCCCCTGCTCTCAAGCCTAACTTCTTATGTCACGGTTCACATCTGGTTGCTCTCTTACGTTGTTTGTATGCGTGTATACGTATGTGTGTGCATATATGTATATACATATATATATATATATATATATATATATATATATTATACACACATATCTGCGTGTGTGTGTGTGTGTGTGCGCGCACGTGCATGTATGTGTTTGTGTGTGTGTGCATGTGTGTGTATGTGTGCATGTGTGTGTGTATGTGTATGTGTGTGAGTATATATGTATATATATATATATATATATATTTTTTTTTTTTACACACACATATATATATGTATGTATGTATACTGTGTTTGGGTTTGTGTACAAAATTTAAAAAGCAAACAGCCACAATGAGAATAGAAATCGAATCGACTCAAGAGTTCCTCACCGGACAAACAGAGAGCCAAAAATATATGTATAATTTACCCCTGAAACAACGAAAGTGTGTAACTCAGTTCATGTAAGCACTATGTGAGTCGAAGCACATAATAAGCCTCCTCTTTGCATTTATTAGGACTTCTCTGGAGTGAATAAATAGCTTCAGAGTATTAAGGTTAGGTAATGGGGGAAAAAACTTCTTTGACACCCATAATTATCGCAAAATAACTATCTCTGCGTTAGAATGTGCGTGGCTATAGTTTTTTCCCCTTTTATTTTTAACTGCATTGCAAGAATGGCATGGGATTTCTTCCAAACATCTAAATTAATGGCGATAGCGAAACACAAAGCACGCGCACACACCACATTGAAAGACGGCTAGCAAGGGAGTAACTGAATATTAAGTATAATATATGTATGTGTGTGTGAGTACTTTGCATATATATATCATATATATATATATGTGTGTGTGTGTGTGTGTGTGTGTGTGTGTGTGTGTGTGCCTGTGTGTGTGTGTGCGCGCATTTATATAGATAGACAGATATATTTATTCATATATGTATTCAAATAATAAACTAAGGCAATCACATCGAAAAACTGTGGCGCAAAAAGCATGGAATGCCGAGTGCATGTCACAAAACTTGCAGCAGGTAGAATGGAAGCAATTTCTTCATAATTCTTTGGCAATTTATGTTCTCTCATCATCAAGTACTCCGCTTCCTCCTCCTTCGTAGAGTCTTGGTACTGTGTAGGGTTTTATTGCAGGTGAAATTCTAGGCCAATACACCTAGCGGCCGCTCCCCGAGGTATAGTTAATCCCCACATTACTACCCAATTGCCGCCTGTTCTAATGGTAGGCAACATGAAGTAGATACAAGAATGAGTAAAACTAAAATAAATGGAAGGTGAAGGAACTTTCGAGATGAATGGTTAAAGTTAATGAAGGTGGTGTTATCTGGAGCGGTGGCGAAGGGAGTGGGGAAGGAGCCGTGTATATGCGTGTGTTAGAAATAGCGAATGTTTCGTGATCGCTTTAATACGTATTCTCAAAAAAAGAAATAAAAAGATAAAAACTCAAAAATATCGAGAAAAAAAATCCATTCTTGCAATCTCGTGACAGAAACTTTCTTCACCTTACCCTCCTATAAAATTAGGGGAATGGCAACTCACACCTCACCACGCGACCGTTGGGACTGGAAGAAAACAAGACATTTAGTATGAACTGTCCAGTGTTGATGACACGGCACTACCATTTCCTACAGCCGCTCTCCAGAATGAAATGTATTCGTTTTGTGATCTTACTTGTACCGGCAATTATAACTGACGCGGCGTCTGTGTGGCCACCAGCAGACATCTTTTCCAAATTGATTTCAGATTTTCAAGACTTTCATAACCAAAATAGAATATGTTTGATAAATTCAGCACAAGCACATAGAGGTAAGCAATAGCAGCTATCGACCAGAACGGCTTGATTTAACTACCATTATCCAATTCTTATAATGGTACATACCTACCCACAGAAACGTCAGTTGTGGGGAGGACCCCCCTCAAGACTGATTGCCCCTCCAGGTCTGGATTGCCCCCCCCCCCAGCCATAATTTTTAGCTTTTTACATTAAATATGTAGCTCAGGTTATAGATGAAAGTGCCCCTAAAACAGCCCATTTTTTAAAATCTTGTTCGCTTCGCTCACTAACACCCCCCCCCTAAGAAAAAGCTGAAAGGACGCTCCTATCTGTGTGTATGCATATATTATATATATATATATAT